CCATGTTAATGTTTCATATGCTCTGTAAATGCATACAAATACAAAATAAAGAAGAATGGGGAAGAAAAAACTAAAATGGAATATAATAAGATACAAATGAACATAAATGTGTTTCAAATGAATAACTAACCAATTGAAAAGGGGGAGTGGAAGAACTAACCTAACTTTTGAACACAGGCTAAGGACAAAAAGAATACTGATCTCTAGTTAGTAGGGTTTTGTTGTTGTTGTTGTTTTGGCAGTGGTATGAATTAGAAACTACTTTCTGTGCTTTCAAGGACTAAGCAAGCAAATAAACATATTGTGGTTTCTTTTTTGTGTTTTATTTATTTAACATCTTTATTGGAGTATAATTGCTTCACAATGGTGTGCTAGTTTCTGCTTTATAACAATATTGGGGAAAGGAGTTACTAACAGGAAAATGGGGAAGGCTAAAATGAATTCCATAGTACTGGACTGCAGTGGGAGGTATGAGTATGATTTCAGGTTTGTTTTTTTTCAATATAGCTATTGTAATGGACATAATGTGCTATGTGTGTACTTCTAGCTCTGATCATTAATAGGGCCTAGAAACAATGACATCTCAATAGCAAAAGGTATATCTTGTGCCCAGAACTTGGTTTCTAAACGCCGAACTTTGCTAAAAGAAATTTTTCTTTGAAGAAATAGCTAATTTCAAGGCTGAAGCTGATAAATACAACTAGGAATATCTAGTTGAGCTAAAACATGAAGTTCTTTAAAAAATGATAGGGTCACATCCAAAGGACACAGAAGCAGGATTAAAAAGGTTCCCACTTGCCAAATCTGGGACAATTTAAACAAAATAAATAGACATGACAACTAAATACAACTTGTGATCCTGGAATGAATCCTGGACCAGAAAAACAATTTTTAAAATTTTCTTATAAAGAGGATTATTAGGACAATTATGGGAATTTGAATAAAGTCTTTAGATAATTTCTTGATTTTGATGGTTATCTAAGAGACTGTCCTACTCTTAGAAAAAACACATCGAAGAGATTGTTATACTGAGTGAAGTCAGACAGAGAAAGACAAATATCATATGATATCGCTTATATGTGGAATCTAAAAAAATGGTACAAATGAACTTATTTACAAAACAGAAATAGAGTCACAGATGTGGAAAACAAACTTATGGTTACCAAAGGGGAAAGGGGGGCAATAAATTGGGAGGCTGGGATTGAAATATACACACTACCCTCTATAAAATAGATAATAAGAGCCTACTGTACAACACATGGAACTCTACTCAGTACTCTGTCATGACTTATATGGGAAAATAATCTAAAAAAAGAGTGGATATGTATATTATAACTGACTCACTTTGCTGTACAGTAGAAACTAACACAACATTGTAAATCAACTATACTCCAATAAAATTAATTAAAAAATTAAATATAAAAAAAGAAAATATACATTTAAGTGTTTAGAGGCAAAGGGATAGCATCTTTGGAACTTATTCTCAAACATTTAGAAAAAAATATGAATATATACAGAGAGAGCTCCATAATGATAAAACAAAACCAATATGGCAAAGATGTTAACATCTGGGGGATGTGGGTGAAAGGTACATGAAAAATCTTTGTCTTATTCATGCAACTTTTCTGTAAGTGTGAAATTTCTTCAAAATAAAAAGTTTAAAAATAAATTAAAAAACAAGATCATTGGGACTTCCCTGGTGGTTGAGAATCCTCCTTCCAATGCAGGGGATGCGGGTTCGATCCCTGGTTAGGAAACTAAGATCCCACATGCCGCAACTACTGAGCCTGTGCACCACAACTAGAGAGCCACATGCCACAACTACAGAGCCCACATGCTCTGGAGCCCGCACGCTGCAACTACTGAGCCTGTGCACTCTGGAGCCCGTGTACCACAACTACAGAGAAGCCCACATGCTGCAGTGAAAGATCCTGCATGCCAAAACTACGACCCGACACAGCCATAAATAAATAAATATTTTTAAAATAAAAAAAAAACAAGATCATTTCATATGGTGATAACTGCTACAAGGAAAATAAGACATGGTAATATTATAAAGAGTACTGGGGGGGGTGTAGTGGCCTGCAAAGTAGTGCTTAAATTGGGAAATCAGAGAAATTAACATGTGAGCCAAGATGTAAATTACATTAGAAACTAGCGCATTGGGGGCTCAGACCTCCAGGCAAGGATATGCCAGGTACTCTAAGGTGAAAAATGTACTTGGTGCCTTCAAGATACAGAAAGATGACAATAAGCATATGGAAAATTTGTAATAAAAAAAATGATAATACTAAAAAAATAGTAAGCTACTCCTTTGTTCCTTATCAGACAGCAAACATGGGAGGAGACCAATATCCAGAGGGTATCCTGCTGTTCCTGACATCAATTTCTCAGCATAAGTAATTTAAAAACATTGACAACTAGTAATTCTTCTTAAAAAGTTCATCTTAAAGAAATAATGAGAAAGGATTATGTAAAAAGATTCATTATGACATTATTTATTACAGCTAACATTGAAAACAAATAACCATCCCTGTAAGAATGTTGGAAGAAAATTATGGTATATCTATATAGGAGAACACTATACAGCCATATAACATATGCAGCTTATGACATAATGTTAAGTTCGGAAAGTAAGATAACAAATTGGTATCTATATGTCTCACATAAAGAAAAAGTTATCAACATATGCACTTATGACATAATGTTAAGTTCGGAAAGTAAGATAACAAATTGGTATCTATATGTCTCACATAAAGAAAAAGTTATCCAAAGAAACATTGGGGGAAGAAAATTCTAAACACTTTGCCTTAGGATGATGGGATTATGGGGTTTCTTTCCCTGCTAAATTACATTTTTCTAAATTTTTTACAATGAGCATATGTTACATTGACATTTGAGGAAAAAAACACTTGCAAATTAGAAAAATCCTATCATACTATTTTTAATTTACCCATAACTACAATTTTTTAATCCATATCCATACCTACAATCCAAATCCATGCACTGCAATTTCAAAGTTCCTCTACCATTCCAAATATTTAATGATCCTAATTCTTTGGACTGAATTTATGAATGGAGGTTCAAGAGTGTTGGAACTTTTGACAAGCAGATCTTTAGGTAGGAGGGGCCAGGCTATAAAGGAGGAACTTTCTTCAGGTTGGAAGAAATACAGGTTATTTCTGTGGCTTGGCCTTTTAGAATTCACCCTTAGGTTTTCTGAAAGTTTCCCTGTCCTATTCCAGGTAGGCTGTTTTGATAAGTAGTTTTGATATTCAGTGAAAGAACAGGTAAGAATTGATAGTCACAATTCTAGGTGCCAGCTGTAAGATTCAATTACTGCTCAATCAATAATGAAATACATTTAGAAGTTTGATATGAATAAATAATTTCTTGGTTTCTCTGGGACAATGTAAATGTATACATAACTGAAAAAATATTTCCCAAGAATTGTTAGGGATGGCTTGGATGCTTGGCTGCTGAAACAGTGTGGTAATGCAGAAAGAACAGAGATTTTAGAATCAAAACAAATCTAGGCTTCACTACTTTCTAAGTGCTTTAATTAAACTTGTTAACACCTCTAAACTGCTGCCTTCTCTTTGAAAATGGGGATACCACACCTGTTACTGTGAGAGTTAGTGCTAATATATATAAGTGCTTAGCAACTGCCTGTATCAAAGCAAGTAATTAAACAATGGGAGCCAAACCAAAACAAAAGACAAAACTAGCCTGCATTTCCCCCATTTCTTCCAGCCCTGATTACATGCTTCATATTTTAACTCTACACCAAGGTTTTCTCAGCTTTGGCACTCTTGAAATTTTGGGCTGGATAATTCAATGTTCAGTAGCAACCTTGGCTTCAATTTACTTAAATATCAATTCCACTACCCTAGCTGCGAAAATCAAAAATGTCTCCATACATTGCTGAATGTCGCCTGGGGCACAAAACTACCCCCCAGTTGAGAACCACTAATCTACACAAATGGTTAAATATAGGAACACTGTTTAATAGGGCAGACCAAAACAAGCAACTTCATTTTTCCCAGACTGCTGAAAGTCAGTGATGGGAGAGAAAGAAGGAAATATCTCATTTCATATAAAGAAACTGTTTGTTTTATGAAGGGTCTCTGTTACAGAATTTGCGCTCATTTAAATGTAGGTTGGACAAGTTAACTTATCCAAGCCTTAGTTTCCTCATATGACTGTTCTATGGATTAAATGCATAATGTAAGTAAAGCACAGTATCTGGTACATAATAAGCACTCAAGAAATGTTGGTCATTCTTATAATAATCTAGGTACTCTTTCCAATCCTAGGCTTTCAGGTCCCACTTATCACCCTTTGTCCCAAATTCATCACTTTATACATACATTTATAACTACTCCAAACCCTGAAGTGGTCCTAACCCTTCTTGAGGTCATGGGGTATAAGAAAAGTGCCTGAGCTGGCAGCAGGAGATTTTGGTTGTAATTTTGAGAAATCTTCCCCAACCAAGGCTGATTACCACTGACAAAGGATATGTATATGTGAATTAGAGTCAGGAAGCATACTATTTATGCAGAGAAAAGTGAGTAAAATTAGTTAGGGCAAGGAAAGAAAAAGAACACTACCTTGATTTCCATTAGGGCACAACTACTGCTGTAATTCATACATTAGTTCAGAGTGAAAGAAAACGAGCAGAATTCCGAAACTGAATATAATCCATTTGAGAAATTTTCTTTAAGTTCAGAGTACTTTTTATGTTAAAAAGTAGACATCTCTAAAATAATTTACTAAAGACAATTTATAAAATGACCATCTATGATGATAAGCTATGTAGATGAAGTTATCAAGTAATTTTTGAAAAATCAATGATCAGGCATGAATCAGAAGTCCTGGAAAAGAAAAGTGACCAATAACCTATAAAATGGAGTTGCAGAAAAAAAGTCATTACTAAGTGAAAGAATGGTTGATGACTCTCATTTATGCAGAAATGAATAAAAAATTTTATTATAGATCACCTGTAGTTTCTGAGTCAAAGAGTCCCTCTGTTCTTGTAGTTCTCTGGCATTATCAATTTCTTGTTTTAATCTTTCTATTTCCTAGAAAAAGTAGAGCAATGTCTTTAACAATATTTTAACTATATCAAGGAGAGAGAAGGCCTTATTATTCCCCGAAATTACTGTCCCAGTCCTTAGAAAAAAGATGACTTAAAAAACATTCCTTTATACTGATTTCAAGGGGTAAATTCATCTTTATGGGTATGTTGTCTAGTACAGCATAATCTTAAGCAACAAATCAGCTTGGTTGCTTTGGTACAGCACTGCTTAGAAACAGCAGTCTGAACATTTTAAGGTTGCTTCAAGCTTTGTGGATATAATTCTGTCCTGGGATATTAAATCTTTTGACTGGAAACTAGACAAAGGAACAGCTTTTAAAATTCATTTAACTTCTAATGGTTTTCTGTTGATTGTATGAATGCAACTCTCATTACAGAAGGCAAGAGGCAGTATCTCAGTCTGACTGCCTCACTGTAGTTCATAACAGACACAGGGATAGGAAAAATATGAACAAGCTTATAACACTCAAGAAAAATTTCATCTTAAAAACACCCCACAACCTGACCTTACTGCATAAAGTACCTTTAAATCTGACATAGACTGTAATGTTTGTACACATATTTTAGTGAGATTACAGACAAGTGAGCAGTAGCAAATACCTCTTCCTTCACTTTCAGCGTCTCTTCCAATTCTTGTATTGTCTGATTTAATTCTGTCTTATGGGTATGCACCGCATTTGCTTGACTACTAACACATTCAAGCTCAGTAACCTAAAATTAAATGAGAACACAGATTAAATTACACGACAGTTTCAAAGGATTTCTTGCTGAAGACATATAAGTCCCTGATAGGTGACTAATGAATTTTGAATCAATATATCAAAATTAATTTTGAGAAATATTGACAAGGTAGAATGAATAGAATTGATTTGTTAAAAATATCAATTTAGGGGACTTCCTCGGTGGCACAGTGGTTAAGAATCCGCCTGTCAATGCAGGGGACACGGGTTTCACCTCTGCTGCAACTAGAGGAAGTCTGCACGCAGCAACGAAGACCCAACGCAGCCAAAAATAAATAAATAAAATTAAAAAATTAAAAAAAAAATCAATTTAGGACTAAGGATAAAGAACAAAGGAAATAATTAGACTTGGTCATGAAAAGGTTAGGAAAACTTAAATTAAGTGATTAATGACAGTAGAGAACCCCTGTAATGAAAGTCTTCTTTAAAAATTTCTTCTGAAAACAAATTCAAAATCAGCCATCTGCCCTCCATCTGTAGCCTTCAAATTAAATATGGGTTCTGAATACTGGCCTTGCAGAAGTGAAAAACTTTTCAAAGACATTTCTAAAATGTAAAGGAATCTGGAAGAAAAGATATGCTTAAAATACAACTTAAATCATTTGATACTAGAATATCTTCACATCAATTTGTTCTTAGAGCAAAAGAAAACAGTTCTCTACTCAATACAAATTTACTGAGGGTCCAGAGAGCAACATAACTTCTAATGTGCACTTGCTATTTTTTGAGAGAACAGAGGACAGCATTATCCCTAAAAGTTATACCATCCAAAAACAGTCAAAATAGACAGAAGTCAACATAAACACACACACACCTTATCAAAGCTCTCTACACATGTCAGGATCTCATACATTCTGATTGACTAGAATATAATAAATTGTAGACTACTAAGGAAACAGCAAATCTCTCTCCCTTACATTTTCCAAGTATTGAATTAACCTCCATATTCTGTCACTCTACCTCTCATATCACTTTCTTGCTTTCTATTCATGCTCTAATAGCCTTGTGCAGACCCTTATCATCCAGGTGTAAACAAAAACAATGACTTGCCAGTGGACCTAATTATATCCTTTGTCTATTTTTATCTCTTCTGCAAACTGCTAATATCATCTTACATTGTGTGACTGTCCCATTAAAAGCCTTTCAATGGCTCATCTTTTTCACAGCATCAAATCTAAACTCTCAGGTTCTCCATAAGCTAGCCACAAACTCCTTAAACATCTCATTGCCCAAGACACCTAGTTATGCACTTTCAGCTAAAAGCAGGCAAATCTCCCTGTCCTAAGAACAAACCACGCTCATACCCATCTTGTTGTCTTAACTAGAATGTCTTCTCTTACCTTTGAAAACCATTCAAAACTAACCAAACCCTCAACTCTCAGCTCAGAATGCACTTCTCTAGAAAGCCATTCCTATCTACCCAAGTGCTCAAGGCTCTCCTGACCTCTGGTCTACAACACTGAACATCTGTTCAAAAATCTTGGGAATTATTTTTTCCCTATTGTTTAATATATATTAGTTTTCTTTGCTCAATTAGGCAGTATATTCCTCACGAGGAGTTCTAGTTTTGATAATGATGGAGCAGCTTTTACTGGATTACCTTTCCTGCAGATAACAATTGCAAATCATGGGCAAAATGTAAACATCAACTGTTAGAAGCCCTGGGAATGACCAAATTGGGCAAAAGACTGAAAGAAAGCATCATACTGGGTGAGATACACATTTACACATCTTTTTGCCTGAAGGCACTGTGCAGTCTGGCTAAGTTGTTTGACTAGCACTCAAGCAAAAACCTGAGATCTTATTTTCTCAAGGAGTCTGAGGAGTTGGGGATGCCTTGCTTAAGCAACTAGAAATTCAGGGAACTGTATGAAAAAATGACCTCTAAAAAGCATATAGACACCCCTTAAATCTTTGGCTGACTTCTGAACTGAACATGTAATAGTAGGAATCCAAGGAGTTCAGCGGTATGGGAGAGAAGCTAGAAGGCTGAAAGAGCTAAGCCGTGGTAGTGCTCACCACAGAGAAGACACTTTGAGGTTAGAGTCCCACCAAATTAGGTCTTAGCAAGCACCTTAAGCTTCCCAGTGAAACCCCAGAAGGGTTATGCCTTAGAAATAAAGATTTTCCAGGACTCAAGGATTCACCCTAGAATTAAGAACAAAACGGAAATAAACCAACTAGTAAAGCATTAAGTCTATACCTCCCAAATTTCAAAGTACAGTCAGCCCTCCATACCCACGGTGGATGTGAAAACTGTGGATACAAAGGGACGAATGTACTATGCCATTTTATATAAGGGACTTCAGCACTCGTGGATATTGGTATCCAGGAGGTGGTTGGGCGGGGTGGGGGTGTCCTGGAACCAATCCCCCTCAGATACCAAGGGATGACTATACAAGTCATTTAGCTGCTCGCTGAAACAAAATTCAACACTGAATATTCAGAGAAAGATAACAGAATCTATGGGCTCTATAACATCATCTCATTTACCATATCCAATATACAACCAAAAATGACTAGACATGAAGAAATAGGAAAACACAACCTGTAGTAAAGACAAAATATATATGTATATATATTTATAAATATATATAAAAAATGCTAAAGGAGGTTACTCAGGCTGAAGGGAAATGGTACCTGATGGAAATTCAGACCTACAGGAAGGAAAGAAGAGCACTGGAAATTATAATTATGTGAGTAAATAAAAATACTTTGTTTCTTAAATTCTTTAAAATTCAATTGACTACTTAAAGCAAAAATTCCTCAAGGGCAGGGAATACATAAAAAGGATAGCTCCTCAATGAATGTTTTTTGGATTATGAATCAGTTGTCCTAAGTTAATTTTTTTTATTGTGGTAAAAAACAATAAAAAACACAGTAGGGGCTTCCCTGGTGGCGCAGTGCTTGAGAGTCCGCCTGCCGATGCAGGAGACGCGGG